GAGAGAGAGAGAGAGAGAGAGAGAGAGAGAGAGAGAGAGAGATGCTCTATCAGATTTCAAGAATGCGAAGCATCCCCTATACGTTGTCTGCAAATTTCTCATTTATTGCATGTGTTGTGTTTATTTATTATTTTTTTATTGATGTATTTCATGTATTTTATTAACTTTTTAGTACGTAAATTAATCTCGACTCAAATATTTTTTTATCAATGAAAGTACAATTGAGTTCGTTAAAGATATCCTGTTTCTTTTTCGACACGTGAGTCTTCTTCTTTGTTTGATATTTTTGTTTGATACTTTATATACGAAACACTCTCTCTTGAATGCGTGAGACTATTCCTGGAATGCTTTCTTATCTCTCCTTTTTGTTGGCAATAGGTCGCTGCGCAATCGCAGCGGGATATCGGCTATTATCTCGCGCTTATCGTCTGTCAAGGCAATGTTGATTTCAATGAACATCTACCTGACAATCGCGTTACACGTGACGATAGTGCTGATTAGTCGGTCGTAATTTAGGGTGCATGATTTTTTTCAGCGCGAGCGAGGAAGCAATTTAATACGGCGTTACGTCAACCGCATCTCGCCTGGGTATTCGTAACTCGAAAATATCGGGAATTGCTTCCAAATATATAATCGTAATTTGCGTCACGAATTGCCACGTCCGTATTCACCGGATCGTGGAACCGAAGAGAACCCCATTCCTTGTTACATTCATACGAAATTGTTTGAATCAAATGTCAAGAAAATTGGTCTTATCGATACAAAAATTAATTGTAAAGTATTGGAACTATTTATGCTTAAAAAAAATCAGAAGGAATTGAATCAAGGCTCCTAATTTTTTTCACTGCAGTTATATTAAATTACAACTTATCAAAGGTAGGAAATCATGCATATTTTTTGCGTCATATGTAGAAATAAATTAGTTTTATCGTAATTTTAACAGTATGATTCACAAAAAATGATTTCTTGCTTCCCGTGTTACAATTCAGTAGTTGCAGCGGCCAGCGAAGAAATCAGAAAAGAAAAGAAAAGAGAAAAGAACAAAAAAAAAAAGAAAGAAGAGAAAAGAGAAAGTGCAGATAAAGAAAAAAAGAAAACTCTTTTTTAATAATTATTCCAAATACTAAATTTTTTAATACGTTTGAATCTTAAACAACTTATTTTAAAGACTTTTCGTCTAAATAAAAAATAAACACTCAATTCCGGGTCACTGTGTGAGTGCAAGGATATGCATTTTGGAACAATGCGCAATGCATCGCGCACAGATATACACGTGTGCCACGTGACGCACGTGGCGAAATATATTTTTAGCTAGCGGCGATTCGATTTCTCGCGATCGCGAGCATATATGCATGATCTCCATCGTGCGTCTCGGGACCGGCGATTCGTTCGAGCGCAATTGCCATGCCGGCGATCGCGCCTTAACGAACGGTTGTTATTGGGGATCGATTCATTGGCGATGTATAGCGCGTTGCGATCGACCTTAATAAAACGACGGTTATTGTCTCGGGTTTACGACTTCCTCGTGCGTCGTGGAAGACGCTGATCAATTCTTCTCTCACAGACGATTTAATAATTCACGTTTCAGATTTCAGGCCAGAATTTTGCTTATAATTTTATACAGCATATATTTCGACGCGTGTACTTTAATATGTACTTTAATATGCAAATATATATGTGTGTTCGATTTTTCAAATTATTTTCGTATTTATTGATATTATATAGAGGAGACCGGGGCTCGTTGGCACCGTTTTCACAATTTCGGCATTTGAGTTTTTAAGGGGTAAAATCACTCTAGAATTTTCAAAAAATCGATTTTTTTTGCTTAAACGATGCTTTAAGGTCTTAGAAATAAGGTACACTTGGTTTCAAAGCTCGGAAAAATCTCTATTATCCTTTTTTCGTAATCCGTCTGCCGGCGCGTTCGGAGCGCGCTTCGAGCGTCTGATACTTTAAACGCGTTTTTCTCGAAATCGCTTTTTTAAAGTCGGGCGGAATCAGAACTCGAACACCTTTTATCCGATTGACTTGAAATTTTGAGTGAAACTTTACAATAACATTATCTTTAGAAGTACCTAGGGATTTTGCGATAAGTTGAACAAAACTTTTTTTATAAACAATTTTGTGCGACACTTTTTAGCGAAAAATGAAGCACTTTTTTCCAACATGCACTATTCTTACAAAAAATGATATTTCGCAATTCCCCTAGGTATGTACATACTTCTATAGAAAATCTTATATATTTTTCAAAAATCTTTGAATTTTTGTTCCAGCTCAAAAATTATAGGAGCTTCGATTCCGCCCGTTAAACGCCTTCCGCAAAAAGGCACTTTGGAGCAATGGCTCTGGCGCCGCCATTTTGGCAATAAATAATTAATAAAAAAAATTTTTTTATACTTTTAAATATAGATAATAAATAGAATTAAACCGATTTTCATTTATGATTATTGTATTTCTGAAAAAAATTATCAAAAATTGGCTTTTTTTGGGACTCTAGAGTGGCGTTACCCCTTAAACAACTAATTTTCATGATTAAACAGTACTAATATAATAAAGAGAACCTTTCTCTACATTTTCATGTCAAGAACGCTCCTGTATACTGTATAGTTTCTTTGTAATAAGTGAAATACGAACATGCTGCATTGTAGCCAACTTGCCCCGATAGTAGAGTAAGTTGGCTATGCGACAAAGGTCCATGTTAAATTAATGAAAACGTAATGGAAACACAAAACGGGTAACAGATATGTACTTCTTCATAAAGATTGTATCTTTTAAAGTTATTTTATAATGATCGAATAGCAAAATGCTGTTACAGAAAAACAATTTTAAATTATTTTAGATGTAGCTTTCTTCAATATAAAAATATTAATATAAATATATATCTAGTTTTTATCAGCATTCTAGGTAGCAAATCACATGCTCACACAGGTCCCACGCGCGCGGCAACAAGTAAAGTTAAGGATGCCTTGATATGAGCCAACATACCCCATCTCTACATGCGTTTGATATTTCAGTCGTTTTCTTACAATAAATTACTGTTGTTCCTCAAAATGACGTATAGTAACAGAAACTTTTCTTTTAACTAATAATACGTCACTTTGAATTTACTTCTCAAGCTGAAGAGCATTAATACGATATTTTGAAACGCTCGAAAATTTATATACTTGCCACCTCTTGAATTAGAGTTTTCTCTTTTTCTATTGTAATACTTTTTTGATTTAAATAGAACTTTGGGAAAAGTATCATAAAAGAGATATTTTGTTATAACTTTTCCATTATTTCTTTCACTATAAATACATAAACGGAGCCCATTGCCAACTTGCCTCTTGTATGCCAACGAGCCCCGGTCTCCCTTAAATTAAATTATAAATGGAGTTTCCCATCCTTTTCGCCATGAATTATAGATCGTTCAAAATGGACTCGATACGGAGGAAACTCGATTTCGCGCCGACAGCTAGCTGTTTCGATAATGGATTCGTAACAATAATTTAGCTAATGGTTGATTTTTTATTTATAAAAGTCTTACAATGACATTTTGACATTTGCGGAAAAATAATATAATGATAATGATTGATAATGATTGTTGTAAGTTCTATTCAATTAGGACATTATTCTTCAGAAACTTAATATTCTGAAGCTAAGTAATTGGCCGATTACAGCGTTCGATTCCCGTGAAGTAAAAAGCAAACGAGTTTGCTTCATTAAAGCTGATAAAACAAGCTGAAAAGAGGAGGAAATCGAACGTGAAATCAAGGAAGCTTTATGCTAAATATACACAATGTTATGTAAAATATGTGTTCTGCGTTTGAAACGGGTCATCTCGCTACTTGCGTGTATTACGTTTAATAACGTGTACCGTCTCCTCGCGTGTTACGCAGACGTGAACAGAAGCGGGCTCCTCGACAATAACACTTAGGATGAAATGCATGGAAATGAATACGCGAATTCCATGACGACAGTCTGAAATTAGTTACGTGACTGCCTGAATCATTGCCTTTAAGATGGTTATAGCGACGTACTTCGTTAGTCTCGTTTACGTAAGTAAAAATATATTTTATACTATATTAATATTATTCTGGAACGCGTTCGACTTAATAATAATAATAATAATAAAAAAAACAAGCAAAAGTGTAGCAAGGACAATGATTAATAAAATATAAAACAATAAGAAATAATAATAATAATATCTCCGACGTTTTTCCCAGAGTTACTGTTTAATGATTTAGTCATTTAGAAATCTAGGATTTTTTTCGAAGATAATAATAATCAGAAAGAATAGATAGTGCGTGCCGTAGGTCGTTGACATACCACAATACCGGTTCCTCGCTTGCAGACAGGTTTCTCCTGTCTAACCGGGATAACGTAAGTACCGGTCCGTAGGAAACACCAGCGATATGGTGAACGATGGAAAGTGAAAGATTTGCAGGCGTTGCACTTGCCTCGCTGCAACGGATGTCCCGAAACAGATTCGACGCTATTAAAATCAACGAGTCGCATCACCGGGCGCGAAATTAGCGACGCTATTTTCGATCGAGCGTTATTCCGGTACCCGTAATATGCAGACGTGAAAGCCTTATAAGGCTTTACGATCAAAACGAGATAACGGAAGTATCAACGCGAGCGTCTGGAGCTGGCGAAGCTTGAGAGTAACGCTCGGCAAAGTGTACGGTACTTGCAGAGGAACAAATAACGAGTTTTCGCACACGTCGTGTGAAGTATTAACTATTAAAACACTTTTTAAAAATATTAATCCTCGCAATCACACAATAAAAAATGTTTGATATCTTTTGCTCAATTATTTTTAAAATTAGAGTTTGATTGATATTACAAATAAAAAAACCATTATATTTTCTACCCAATTATTATAAATTCGATTAATATTTTTTTTTTTAAAAAAGTAATTAAAAAGATCATAATTTTTTACTCAATTATTATAGCAAAAATTCAATTTCTATCGCTCTTTTCATAAACTAAAAAATCGTTATATTTTTATTCAATTATTTTAACCGATATTTGAACAATAACGCTTTTTCCAAAAGCTGAAAAAAGTTATATTTTTTACTGAATTATTTCAACATTTCGATTTATATCGAATTTTTCACAAGCTAAAAGATTTTGATTCAATTCTAGTAAAAATTTGACTGATATTGTTTTCTCCACAAGAAATATTGTTAATCGTCACGCAGTCGGACGGGGCACGCTACGCGAGCACGTTACAAGGACTTCATTGTAGAACATGAAGCGTTCACGGGGCTGGAGAATGCGGTTATAAAGATATGCTCGCTCGCTACCCGCGATGTGATTATCGCTATTTTATTTAATATTCATGACGCGCACAATCGTATAAGGAAATGGAACGATATGCAAATCGCGTTCAAGGACGAGGCGAGTATCGACATGTGTTCCTATCTACGTGAGCGGATCGCCAAAAACTTCTTAGTATTCTTTGTGATATCCTTGCGTCTCGAAGTTACAAAGTAAATCTACAAATAAGAACCATGTCCTGTGGGCACACGCAAGACAGTTCTGTTAATTTTTTTTGCTTGCAACCGAAGGATTACAAGTGCATATGTAAACAATGATATGCACAACTGTTCCAAAAATCTATTTCGAGAAGCGATTATAAGACTGGACAAAAATTTTGACGGACGATTTAGAGAATAATTGTAAACTTTAAAATAATTTTGATTTGTTTAAATATATCTTTGTTTAATAGCCTTTCCTCAATCATTAAATAAATCTTTAATATAATCAATACCTCTCTCTTTCCAAGGTCTTTCTCCCTCACTCTTTCCAATTTTATTCAACATTTAAATATATCGGATTTACCGAACTTTGCTTTATTTTATATTTACGTTTGTTTTCATTTTGTAGGACACGGAGTTCTTAATTGAAAAAAGCATGATCCGGCTTATTGTAGATTTGCGTTATACATAGATAATTCAAAGAAGCATCTAATAAAAAGTTGCCTTTTGCCCCTTTATTATATTACCTGTTTAACATTGCAAATCATAGGCCAACAGTTCCGCCTATCTCGTACTTCCAATTTTTTTTATGTCTTTAGTGGCGTAACGCCTACCGCAAAAGATGCTGTACCAATGGAAGGTCAAGGCCAGCCACAATCGACAACACACGGCTCCTCTTAGCGTGTGTGCACACACATTTAACTCTCGTCCACCTTGTAAGACTGAATTGCTCGAGTTGTATTAATAAGCGCTCGTTGGGCTTAAGAGCGATCGACCAGAGAAGGAAAGAGAGAGAAAGAGAGAAAAAGGACAATATACGTGAGTCGCATTTCAGGCAATTATTATGCAACTCCACGAGTACGGAAAACACGTGCGAGACGAGGGTTCGTCATGAGACGACCCTGAAGGAGATGTTTACGTAACGATTTTTTGCCCCGTGGTTTTTTTTTTATCAGCCGCCAATACATAATACACGTTCATCGATCCGGCGTGATTCGGCGGGCTGCAAATCAATGCAAGAGACTTAAATGAGATTCACGTTGAATAAATCTTTAATAAAGAGAGTGTTTTTCCATTTCCCGGCCTTGGGTTCGGTTGAGCGCGATTCTAGGCAGCCAATAGAGAAGTCGGCCGTTCGCGCGGGTGATTACGCGACTTTCTTACGCGACAAACACGCGAAGCCGCGGAATGAGTTGCGAAGTATAACAGCGAGCCAAGAAATTGCCAGAGGTAAAAGTAAACGGGATGTGGCAAGAAAGGAGAATGAACGGCGAACACAGAACGATGCGCCGCGCACGAGCGAGCCTTGACTCGAAAAAATGTTAATTCGTCATGTGCTTGGCGCGTCTGCATCAGTCTGCATCCAGCCACACAAGCAGATTTTATCTCAAATACGCGCGAGAAATTTACGTCTCAATTCAAAATCTGCATTATTCAAGATCCGTTTTGATTTATCTTTAGGATTTCCAAGTATAATAGAACGGTGAACACAATTGTTCGCAAATAATCGCGTATCTGAAAAAATAGATTTTATCAGATTTGCGCGATCCTATTACGTTTGATTATACGTAATAAATAGATTTAATCGACTTGTGCGCGATAACAATTCACAAGAAGTGAGCCAATTAACCTCGAGATGAAATATTTAACCAGGTTCTTGCCGAGAATGAAGAGACGACACGTCGATGGGGACAATAATCCAATTAGCATCGATCGCTACATTACGCGCGCGTATCTCTGTTTGTCTTTGAAGAAACACACGTTTCAAAGGGGAGTTCGACAGGGCCGTCGACTCGGCAAATTATTAATCTATCTTATCATTTGCCCATCTAATATTTGCTAAGAATGGATCTCGCCGGATTGGCGAGTGTCTGTCGGGCGAACAATTTACCCCATTAACTCCACGACTCCACTGGACTCCACGTAAATTGAAAATTCAATATTCCTTGCTAAAAGGAAACGTACACGTCGTTGACGGAACGATTCTACCGATATGCTCATTCCGAGCCTTCATTCGCTGAGTTAACTAGCTGTCCGAAATTAGCTGTTCAATATATTTATGAAGATCGAAGAAAAATATGTTGCTCCATCCAATGGAATTAGTAATCCCGCTGAGGATTTATCCTTGGATAAAAGACACGAGGACATTTACCTAAGATTTCGAGTCCACCTTGAACAAAATACAATCTTGGCCTTTAGGCGTCGAATATTTTCGTTAAAACCGAAACGCGCGTCATTGACGAGATGACAATGATGACATTTCGATTCGATTGATGTGGTAGTTCAGAGATGATGATTGAAAGTGTTTCCGCGTGGTTAATCAAGCCGTGATTAATTACTCGACATTCGTCGATGTAATGATGATCTGAGGAAAGAGTGTCGGTTTTAGATAAAAATTTTTCGCGCGGTCGACGAGATAATAATTAATGTCTCTGCAGCCGAAAAAAGTTAAAATAGAGAAGATTTTATCACCAGTGATTAAAATCGTTTAATCGCCGCTGATTAAAGTTATGTAATCGTGCTAATCAAGGTGTAGCCGTGAGCACCAGATATTCGATATTCAATTCAATGTAATGATGATTCGAGGAAACGTGTCGCTTTTAGATGAAAATTTCTCGCGCGGTCGACGAGATAATAATTAATGTGGTATCCACTCTCTCTCTCTCTCTCTCTCTCTCTCTCTCTCTCTCTCTGTGGGTTGAAACTGTTTCCGTGTTAATCAAGCTGTGATGCGGTGCGCAGCCGTGATTATCGACATTCGTCAACGTAATGATGACAATCCGAGGAAACGTGTCGCTTTGAGATGAAAATTTCTCGCGCGGTCGACGAGATAATAATTAACGAGATAATAATTGGCAATTATCTCTGTATCCGAAGACAGTTCACTCGGAGACAATTTCGTCTCCGGGTGATTAGTCATTTAATCGAATAATCGCGTTAATTAAGGTGTAGCCGCGCGAGCACTAGGTGTTCGGTATTTGATGTAATGACAATTCGAGGAAACGTTGGATGAAAATTTCTCGCGCGCGGTTGACGAGATAATAATTAATATAATACTCTCTTACAAAAAAATATAGTACATCTTAGCTAGCAGGAGCTTCTAAAAGATGTCTTAAAAAAACATCTAAAGAACGTCTGAAAAATTGTGTCGTCTTTTAAACGTCTTTGTGATGTTTTTAAGACGTATTTTAGAACTTTCTGCTAGCTGGGACCTCTTCATCCGAAGAAAATTCACTCGGAGAGGATATACTTCGTCACTCTGGTAATTAAAATCATTTAATGGCCGGTGATTAAAGTCAATTTAATCATGTTAATCAAGCCGTGCAGCCGTGAGCACCTTGGTATTCGACGTTCGATACTAATGACGAGCCGGAGGTACGTGTCTCGCACTTAAGTGAAAATTCCTCGGCGCGGTCGAGGAGACCGCGATCGACGCTTACTGTAAGGCGGCCTCTCGGTCTCCCAGATGAGCGTGCCGCGATGAAAGTACACGCGGCACCGCTTCTTCTTCACGACGAAGGTGTTGAGCAGCACCGATTTGGAGGCGGCACGTTGATCGTCGGCGGGGCCGCCTGCAACGTCCTGCATCATCCTGAGGCCGCTTCATCGACGGAGTTGACGGCGCGGCCGTGACGTCATCCCGAGGATGACCGCTGATCGATGCACCGCAACGACGACGACGACGGTGCACGTCAGGAGGATCGTCACGGAAAATCGGGAAAGGAGCACGGCTCGCTGCTCCGCGATCGATTACACGCACGCACGATTAACGACGCGCACCGCACTGGGATCCTGCCCGGTCGGATGCGCGAGCGAGACTGCGAGACTGCTGATCGCGTCGCGAGTCGCGAGTGCGACTCCGCGAGCCGTCGCGAAACGCGAAACAGGACGAGAGTGCGGCGACGCGCACTCCGGTGCGCGTGCACTCGCCGTCCGTCCGCGCGCTGCAATATGAGTCATATCTGTCAAAACGTCAAAACCATGTTAGATGCGTGGGTGTGTATGATCAGGGTATTCATTCAACTCTTCGGCGGCAGTACTGATGCTGACGTTTTTGTGCTAATAAAATTCAAGATGTTGAGGTAATTTTTCCAACCTGATAAATTAATTAAGAATATATTTAGGAAGAGAGAGAGAAAGAGGGTGAGGAAGGGAGGAGAGAGAGAGAGACAGAGAATAGCAATGGGAAACGATGAATACCGTATAATAATATCGTTTATTGTGAGAAATGCGATTATTATTATTTTATTATAATATATTATTCTTTTTATAATAATTATTGTCACAATTAGGAATTGTATTGGTAATTTTTGGCTAAGGACTAATGTTATAATTTTGTTAATATCAAAAGTTAATGATAATAACAATTGGAGAATTCATGTCATTGATAAATATTTGTAGATTAAAATAAATTCATTGTTCTTGTCGCGTGTGTACAATTTTAAGGATACATGGATTTATCGAAGTTTTTACTTTACATTCGTCGAACAATTATATTATAAATAACGTAACAGACATTGCAAAAATATAGTTATTAATTAAAGTTTTTAATGTTTATTTTGTATAACTTTTAGATAAGATATAATTTCGACAGAAGAATCTTTTTTAAGAATTTAAATATGAAAAAAAAGTTGCAGTTTTTTTTACAGGTATATATATTTCTTCCATGTTAATTATCGATGAAGTAGATACCACTATTATTAATAGTAGATAAGCACAAAAAGATTCGAGGCGTAAAATATATTATTTATTGCTTATGCAGTGATCATTTTATATTACTGTTATAGAATTAATTATTAATCAACACAACTGCATACAGTTTCCTTTTTTTTACGTATGGCGTTATATATTGCGAAGCAAAAATCGTCATAAAATTTTTTGTAATTTCGTCGCAAAATTTATTTTCTGAAATAATTAACTTTTCTTACAAACAGAGTGACAAAAGGATTCATCTCGTATAATCTTATCCAAGCTTCAGAATACTGTTTGTGATAGCGATCCCCTCGTTCACGGTTCTGTCGACGTGTCTGAACACGATGCAAATATTTGATCCGCAAACACGATACAGTCCGTTCAAGCGAGGCTACCTGACGCGGGTCATCTATGATTAATCCAACCGTAAATTCGTATGGAAATCGTTTGAGTTTGTAGTCGTGCGAGTAAGAGAAATGATTGCGGACGTTTCTGAAACATTTCTTTATAATTGTAGAAACACGTGAAAATATAGAAATGCGATCGCGGTGAAACTCGCGGGGAGCGGACCGTAGTCACGATTTGCGCGGGAAACGTCGTGAAGGGAGGCGAGTACCGGCGCGATCGGCCGGACAGCATTCCAAAGACGATCGCACGCCACGTATTTCGCGCACCCGGAGACATTTCGCCGACAGTTTCCTCAACATCCACCGTGCAATAACCATCAAATCTTCGCGACGGCAATGTTTGTCCCAAGTTTACATGTAAACGGAGAGATTTTTGCAAAATTTTGCTTTACGAATCGTCATGTTTTGAACAAATCCTTATATCCAATAATTGCAACGATATATTTATAACAATTATAACATCATAATTGTATAAATTTTAACTTATATTATTATTACATATATAGAGTCCATAATTGACATGAACTGTATTTAAAACATGAAATAATTTAGATAATTAATTTTCTCCAAGAAAGTGGTTTCTCCATTTCGTTTTCTACAATGTATAAATTAATAATGTAAAATCCGGAGTAAAGAAAACGCTCTATTTGAGAACCGTTGTCGGCACGCCGGTGCGTCGCGATTGGCTCGCCGCGACAACGCGGTGTGCTCGAGACAAATGATAGAGACGAACGTGGAGAAACGACCAATGAGTGACACGGATCGTCTCGCGATGATGGACTTCAGTACACTTCGGCACCGCCACTTCGACCGATATCGCCGTGATATTCATGGGACGTACACATCAGCATACGTCGAATATATCGCCTATATCGGTCGTTCCGGAACTACCGCCGCCTGTGCGAAAGGCTCGTTTGAGCTAGGATCAATGCGGATTAAATATGAATATCCTTTGTATCCGACGTTGGACAATGCATCGGCGACGAAACACGTCGCTGCACTCACGCGAATGCGTCGGTTCTCAGTAAACGTCATTCGCAGGAATCGATGTTGCGACAATGAAATCTGCAATTGCATAAAGACGAACCTAATATACATCCACGTTATATATAACGAAGATGAAAGGAGTAATTGATAGAAAAACTGGAGTTTCCGAATTGGAATTGGAGACACAATGATAAATTTAGGCTTATTCTGAACTTAAAAAACAACCGAATTATATATGCTTTATCCAACGATCGTTCTTCTATTAATTTCTCACGCGCGTAACCGTAATACTTTCAATTTTCGAATATATCGCAATGTTTATAGATTCGCGGAAGCGCGTCGTCGGGAAATCTTTCAGACGTGCAGGGCGAACTCGGCCGGAGTCAAGTGTATAGTCCGGCGACAAAGAAGAAACGGAGCAGTCGGGACAGTGGTCGGCGCGCGGCTCGCTACGCTCCTGTGGAACGGCGCCGCGGGCGCGTGCGCAAGTTCGAAATTGGCCAATCGGCGCGCGCGGCCGGCACCGTGGCGGTGGCATCGTGGGGGCTCGCTCGCGCCCTCGGTATCGCCGTGCCGGCGTTACCGCGTCCATTTTGTCGAAGCATACGGTCCCGGTTAGTCGACGCCGGTGTGGAACAGTATAATTCCCATTTGCTACGAGTTCGCGCGCGGGAGATCCAGTGGCTGTCCTTCGGCGGCGTTTGCGTTATCACCGTACGGGGCGTACGACGAAAGCGGCGAGAGCACACCGGTGCGGCAACTTGCGCGGGCGCGCGAGGAAAAGTTACAAGGAATATCGGCGGTCCTTTCACCACGTTATTCCGCGACGCGGTTTCGACGCGGGCCGCGACGTACCGGCAAAGGCGTAAAAACCGACTTACCTCCTCCTGATCTCCGCCTCGTAAACGAGTTCGCACGGCAAGATGGCGGAGCTGCAGGGCACCCCGGTGGCACAGGACGCCCTGACCGTGGCGCAGCTCGAGCTTGAGGGGAATCCGAATGCCTTGGCGCTGCGCAGGCCGTTCGACCCGGTGGCGCATGATCTCGATGCATCCTTCCGCTTGACGCGATTCGCTGATCTGAAAGGATGAGGGTGTAAAGTCCCTCAGGAGGTTCTTGGTAAGCTCCTCGAGGGACTTCAGGCGGACGATGCGTCCGCACAGGATCACGAGCATGCCCACTTCATGCACATGGCCATTCCGCGCATCGGTAAGTGAACGGACGTGAATGAATGAATCAACTCAATCAACGAGCTCTGGAGCCCCCTGTTGCGGCGCGCTTGCGAGCCGGCATCTTTGGCTCGCCGTGTATTTGTTCTCTCCCTTTCCCTCGGCGTCTTTCTCAAAGCGAATTTTTACATAGAAAAATCGACACGCTTGGGGAAAATTGTTCCTCCTTCTCGGACTTCCGGCAACAATGTGTACCTGATTTCGGAGTCGCGTGACTCCGAATATTTCCAGTGCGAGATGCAAAGTCATCGATTCTTGTCTTTGATTTTCTTGTTGATTTTATACCGGGCCTGAAAGCGCCGCGAGGCAGCCCTGCCGTAACATGGCGACCGTGTCGTCTCCCGCCCAATTTCTCCCGTGGCACCGGAAGCACAGATGTTCTCAACCTCAATCTATAGTTTGGCGTGCTGATTCGCACAAATTTGCGATGATATATATTACCTCAAATTTTATTCCAACATACCATAAATAAAAAAATACATTGAAATATTACGTATTGTTAAATTACAATTTTTTCTGGAAATTTCTGAAAACATTTTTAAAACACTCTTGCAGCAAATAAATTTTTGAAATTTACATAACTTTTTCCTAATTTCTTTGTAATATTCTTATAGATTTAAATTTTTTTTATATATATTCAAACCCTAAAAGGTTTAATAAAAAACAATGAACGCAATTGTATTTTACTTTAAAAAATTTTGTCCTTAATTTTTTTGTCATATCTTACATGTTTCGAAATTTTATAATTCTTTATATAATATTATTTAGACCCTAAAATGTGTAATAAGAAATATCATGTGCAATTATACTTTGTAAAATAATTGAAGATAAAATAAAAAAAATTTTTAATTGTACTACTTTATGTTGCAGTAATCTAATAAATAATTGTAATATTGTTTCAGGCATTGGCATGGATTCCTCTGTGACGCCGGTGCGACACGGTGGGCTTAGCCTGGTGCAGACTACAGATTTCTTTTACCCGCTAGTCGACGATCCTTACATGATGGGTAAGACAGGGGACGTCGAACGGATGAGAACATTATGAAATATTATGATACCAAGTTAAATTAAATGTCACACTTGTAAAATCTGCAAATTCAGATCTATATATATCAATTGTATTATTTCGTCTACTTCATTGCTATGGGAGGTGTTTTCCAGGTAAAATCGCGTGCACGAATGTCCTTAGTGATCTGTACGCGATGGGCGTCACAGACTGCGACAACATGTTGATGCTGCTGGGTGTCAGTACGAAGATGACGGAGAAAGAGCGCGATGTTGTTGTGCCGCTGATCATGAGAGGGTTCAAGGATTCTGCTCTAGATGCGGGCACCACGGTAACTGGTGGCCAAACAGTCGTAAATCCCTGGTGCACTATCGGTGGAGTTGCTACCACTGTCTGCCAACCAAATGAGTATATTGTGTACGTAATTAATTATGATGATCGTCACAAGTATCGGCATTGATTGTTAGATTTGGCACTAAGTTTCTTTATGGTTCTCGGATTTAGGCCGGATAATGCCGTAGTTGGGGATGTATTGGTCCTAACAAAGCCTCTTGGTACACAAGTTGCCGTTAACGCGCATCAATGGCTCGACCAGCCGGACCGTTGGAACAGAATCAAGCTTGTAGTGAGCGAGGAGGATGTGCGAAAAGGTTATCAACGTGCAATGGATAGCATGGCCAGGTTGAACAGAACAGGTACATCCTATGTTACGTAATGCTGAATCATGCTAGGATATCTCAAACTTTTAATTTTAATAACACCGGACCAATTTGAAATTAAAATTTTACTCGCTGAAAGTATCGAGAGAGATCGCCGTTTATCTTAACTTTTCAATTTTACAACTAATCATTAGGTTAAAGTTTTATTGAAATATGTTTGTATGAAACTAATTTAAAGAGTTTATTGTTTCCGAAAGTGGGAAAATGACATTTTTCCCGTTAATATGTTTACAAATTATATATAGATTTTCCTGCTAATACAGTAGAATATCTTATATTTGTGAGATATTCTAAAGAAAGGCAGGTAGAGAAACAGAAGGAATTTTTGCTATTTATTGTTAATATATATTTAGTATTTTTTTCCTTCTTACAGTTGTACCTTTATATTTATTTTACATTAACTTGGATAAGTTTGTTACAATTTGTTTCACGCGCCTTTATTTACAAACTTCAACCGTTCAATCAATTTTTTTATTAACCGAGGCATACACGGAACGAGAGTCGAGAAGTCCGGGAGCTACCGACTATGAATCAAACTGTCTCACACGAAGCCACGTATTATCCATTATTATGAAATTAATTAAGAATATAAATGTTATCTACTTGTCTATTTATTGTTAGCAAAACTTATTCTGCGACAAGTGTCTTTTCCTTCAATATTTTCATTAAAAAAGAATCAAACGTAAAGTTCATTAGAGGATGTTTCGTTAAAATCAATTATTAGAATCTTCAGTTAAACTAATTAAAATCAATCATGGCCACTCGATTTTCCAGCTGCTAGATTGATGCATAAATACAACGCACACGGAGCTACGGACGTCACTGGTTTCGGTCTTCTGGGACACGCTCAGAATCTGGCAAAACATCAGAAGAACGAAGTTTCCTTTGTTATCCATAATCTCCCTGTTATCTCCAAGATGGCTGCAGTAGCGAAGGCATGCGGAAACATGTTCCAATTATTGCAGGGTCACTCAGCCGAGACTAGCGGCGGTCTGCTCATTTGCCTTCCTCGTGAACAGGTTAATAAGTTGTTCATTAAATCGTATTATACATCGTCAAATTTATAGGCATAAACGTCATTAAGTACATTCAGGCAACAGGTAATATTAACATACGATCTAATTTAACATGCTAAGAGCATTTGCCTGACAAGTAAAAGATTTGATTTCTGATAAGCTCGATATTTTTCTCGCTTGCAAATTATAGATCGAGTTTCCTGTTAATACAGTAGAATATCTTATATTCGTGAGATATTCTAAAGAAAGGCAGGTAGAGAAACAGGAGGTATATTTTACTATTTATTGTTACTATATATTTAGTTATTAACCTTCCTACAATTGTACCCTTATATATTCATTTTACATTAACTCGGACGAGTAATATTCAAATTTAAAGAAGTTTTGTCTACGAATCTAATCCAGCAGACTGCGGTTAGTAGTTTTAAAATGTAAAGTTGATGCGATTTTTTTAGATTGCGAATTGTGTTTTACAGGCTGCGGCTTATTGTAAAGATATCGAAAAACAGGAAGGATATCAAGCTTGGATTATCGGCATCGTGGAGAAGGGCCTTCGCACGGCTAGAATAATCGACAAGCCGCGAGTAATTGAAGTTCCGGCTAAGGAAAAGGACGGCGAGCTCTGGTAAAAGAAAAGGATCCAGGGATATCCCACATTTGCCTCCTCAATTATACATACGTTCATATACTTCGAAAATAGCACGCATACACACTCGACAGCGCTTTTACGTGCACCACAGACGAAAAGAGTTGTTTACTATTTATATCTTGTATAGGTATCTTCCTGTACGAAAAAAAATGACAATTTAAGTGGTATTCAAAGTCTCAAGTATTAAATCACAAAGCTTGGGAGCTGAGTCATTATACGAATCATCTATCTACAATGAGATAGCCCTTGCGATTTAATAATCGACTTGTTAATAGCGAGTATCATATCATGTTTTATTCAAAGTATTCTTACCCGCATCTTACAGAGAAAAAACTTGTTTTTCTCAGTTTTCTTTCCATATTGATGGCACGTAAAGCTGTTTGAAAATTTCAAAACTCTTGAAGATCGAAGTCGACGATACTTTTTCTTGTACCAAGCAAAGTTTAAGGCTCCTAGTTCCTGAGCCGAGAACTCTGCGTTGACGATGGCGCCGTACCGTAGAATTCTGTCTTGTGACATGTTGACAACCTATTTTGCGTTGCGTTAAATTTCTTTGTTATTCGCTCTGTACTTGTGCTATAACGTTTAACGTATTCGTGAAACTCGTAAACTTGACCGTATGGTAAGATTTGCAAGAAATACATATGCGGAAGGAACATTCTCCACTCCTTTCGATAGTCGAAAACGGCTTGTTTTTCCGTATGTTTAGGCTTCGTTTTATGGCTGTTTGTTTATTGTCGAGGGAAAAGAATAGTATCCGGTCAATTTTAGAAGTGTGCTGAAACGATTATAGTGATTTTTTATTGAATGTCTTTTTATTTCGGAAAATACCGCAACATAAAATAGGGTAATTTCTCGCCTCGATAGCAAGAAATTCAATATGGCTGCGGTGACTACCCAGGAGTCTTAAGAAAATGATAAATTTAGTAGCTTTAATATTAAGGTAGCACTAAGTTCTCGGACTAAGAAGCTTCAAAAGCAACTCAAATAAATATTCGAATAGTAATCGATCTACTACATATACTATATCGGGTGGCGAATTTGGGTTAATGGCGTTTAAAAGGGATTGATGATCGCAGATAATTGTAGAGATCTACGGGATATATTTTACAAGATGCAAAATACAAAATGACTGGGTGGTGTACGTTATTTTATCTAGCGGATTACAAACGACGATATGTAAATCAGAATGACCAGTGATTTTTGCGAAGAAAGATATTGTTAAATAAGTAGCTTATATGTAATAGCAGACTTATACGGTCCTCGCATCTCGGTGAGATATAATCCAAAAGTCTTGAGTAGAGCACCATACACATATACAGATATAGAGTCCAAAAAAGATGAAGGCCTTCTAATTGTCTCCTACGCTTTGATATCATTCAAAGAAAGAAATTAAGCACAGGCCCTAACGTTGTATTACTTTTTCATATGAATAAAGTGCTACTTTGTCAATAAAATTAATCCAGCGTTTCTCGTTAGATCCTCTGAGAAATTTACTTTTTGAGTTATTAAAAATTCTATGGCTCTGATGTAAAAAAAAGACTAAAGTAAATATTGTAATAATTTTTTGGCTTTTTAAAAAACTTTTCTTTTTTTTTATTCCAAGAAAATAAATTGTCTCATTTTGAGTGCGAGTGCTACGGTACTCTCGCAAGCGTTCCGAACAGGTGCGCAAACGCGCAGTTGCGCGTGCGTACGCCTGTACGAGAAAAAAAAAATCATAACCTATCGGCGACATGGTATCGATACCTGGGGACGCTTTATCACCACCTTGCGAAATGTGAGCTTATCGGGCTATCTTCCCCGTTCGTACGGCGCGCTGACTAATCGATCGTGCCGATACGCACAACGTATGGAACGCCGTTTGTCTTTCTCTTCCGTAAATTTCCCTGTACTCTGTAATCGCACAGCCCGCGCGTGGTTGCGTAATTTGTACGCCGAGAATCTCCGAGTGCGTTACGGTTACTGCGTTCCGCTTCAAGCTCTGCTGTAAAGACCGTATAAGCGGAGCGATGCTACCGCGCTACCTGACGAAAAATTAAGGAGCATGACCGTGCTACCTGTTGAACTGGCGCAATCTTATCGTTGAAATGATTTGATCGGCCTTGAGAGAAACCAAGAGAGACTTGGGAGCGTCGCGTGCCTGATCCGTGCTCGTTTTAGGTAAACCACGAATGTCGATTGTTCATTAACTTTTCAAATATATTCTTTCCTGTCACGATTTCACTCTACGTTTAAATTAATGTTAAATAAATCAGTATATCAAAGTAACAGGTTATTCTACGTAACAGTTTTCTTGTACGTTGTCTCATTATTTATAAATAATTATTATTTTATTGTATTAGAGCAAATAATGACGCAGTATCCTTATGATCCTCCCAATTTTCTTTTTATCGATTGTATTCTTTCTCTTTTAGGCAGCAAACAACTCTGTCAATATTTACTAAAAGAACATATGTGACATCATAGAAATGTGAGACAAACTTGCTAGCTCCAGGAAAATGGCGAAAGAGATATATTCTGTAAATTCTGTGGCAAATACGCTTTGCCACAGGAAATCTATGCGTTGCATGAAGATCCCATTGAAGTCGACCGAGCAGATATATCTAATTTTTCTCGTACCGACATTGGTCAATTGTTTTGTATATATTATTCACTTTGCTGCTGACTTGGTGGTAGCTATTCAACACTTCAAGGAGGAAAATCCATTATGGGGAATGTCCACCCTTGCAATTATCTATGCACCGGCGCTCATGTACTTTATACTGACAGTTTCGAGGCCAGATTGGTGGATGACGGAAGACGATAAGGTGTCGAAAGGCGTACTTGGCTGGTTCGGCCTCCAAGTGTGTCAGTTCATTGGATTCGTGTTCTTCGTATTATACAGGTATTTCTTTTCCATTATTACTCGCTTTAGTTAATTAAAAACCAATTTCCTCTTATCACATATATACAGTGTTTAAAAAATTGTCTCATATTTTGAGAGCAGGTAGTACTCGGCAAAATAAGAAGTAAATGTCTAGTAAACATGGATCCTAAATCAAATACATGTGTAATATCTCAATATGGGCCAATATTTATTGTATACTATAAGAGGTGTTCTATGTGGTTCCCATTCATTGTCACACATTTCAAATAAAAAAGATACACATTCCTACAATGTTTGTACGTCATCAATGGGTGTTGAATACACCAAGGTCTTCAAATGACGAACCTTGCCCTGTTCTTATATTAATTGTGTTATTTCTGCAGTGTAGTAAGATTTGAGTCATTATCATCGATGACGTACAAACATCGTAGGAATGTGTATTTTTTTATTCGAAATGTGTGACAATAAATGCATGGGAACCACATAGAGAACACCTTTTATAATATACAATAAATATTGATCCATATTTCAACAGGTATTTGATTTAGGACCCATGTTTACTGGACATTTTCTTCTTATTTTGATCAGTAGATACTATCTGCTCTCAAAATATAAAACACTTTTTTAATCACCCTATATATATTTTTTTAATTTACTTTATATAGAGTTTAAACAGTAATAAACAGTCGTATGTACAAATTAGTACATTTTTATAGATACGCGGGACTCATTGTACTGTCTGTGGACGCCATAAACTTATCCGGGAACGAAAGAGTCAAGACATTAAATGTCGCTGCGGCACCTGCGGCCATCGAATTGTACTTCTTTCTGCAGGCATGGTTCCAAGCTGCTCCACAGGCGGTTTTTCAGACGCACCTGCTCTTCAGGCAGAGCTCTGTGCCTCGCAGTTATCAATCAAGTAAAATAGAGAATCACTTTTTCGATACGATTATGCATACATATTTCGTTTTCATAATTCGAGAAGATATATGTATGTACAATATATTTTTATAATATATTGTGTGTATGTGTGTGTGTGTACACACACACACACACACACACACACACACACACACACACACACACA